TGGTATTGCTACTCTCATTACTGGTCCTGAGGGGTTGATCTGTCCTGGCTTCCCTCTGTTTCAAGCTCTTATCTGTACTCGTGTACATGCTCTGGTCTAGCTGGATTTGTAAGGTAGAATTGGGGTCATGATAGTCAGGGTGGGGGGAGCATTAAAGAACTAGAGGAAAGTTGTATGTTTTATTGGTACTACACTGCACCCGGACTGGCTCGTCTCTTCCTTGTGACCCTTCTGTATGGGGATGTCCAATTGTCTACAGATGGCCTTTGGGTCTCTACTCCACACTCCCCTCATTCACATCTTTATAGAACTTATATGAATGTGATTAAACTATTGAAATGTATGATATGTGAATTGTATGGAAGTCGAATTAATAAAACTAAACTAACTTAAATTTCAAAAGGGGGGGGGCATATGGCAAAGGATGGAGGTGGCCTCTGAAACTGAGCACAACCCAAAGCCACAGCCAATAGGACTGTCACCCTACAACTGTCAGACACAGAGTTCTTTGACCCTGCAAGTAAACTTGAAAGTGGATTTTTCCTCCGAGTCTCAGACAAGAACTTAGTCTGGCCTACACGTTGATCCCAGCCGTGTGTTACCCTGAACAGAAAGCATGACCACACTGTCTAGACTTCTGATGTACAGGCCTCTGAGCCAATACATGGGTTGTTTAAAGCCAGGAAGAGTGTGGTGATTTGTTGAACAGCAGTGAAAACCTCGTGGAGAAGACACATTTATGTATGTTTCCTTCAGCTTCCAAGTATCAGCAGAAAAATGCCTCTCCTCAGCCAGGGGCTCTTTGCTCCATTGACGCCCTTTTGTGCCCGCGTGCACTTGGCCGACCTTGCCACCTAGGGTGTGGTTGGTGGGGTGTGGCTGGGATGGATGACGATGCACATCTTGGCATGTAGCAGATTGTTTGTAAATGAAAGAGGAGAGAGGGACTGCTGGATAAGAGATGAATTTGCAAAACTAAAGTACAGAGGCGTTCAGGGAATGAAGAGTTAATCCACATCACCCGCAGGTAACTGTGGTTGCGCTCAGGAATTATCAACTATCAAGAGTGTTCCAGGAAGCATCTGAGAATGGCCTCTGAGATTGCTTGTGACAACTGCCCTCAAGAAATCTATGTTTGAACTAGATGAACTGATATGAAGAAAGAACAATTTGTGAGATAATTGTGGTTTGGCCCATACTGCGTGTGTGTGTGTGTGTGTGTGTGTGTGTGTGTGTGTGTGTATGGGGGGTTATTGTTGTTGCTGCTGTTTGTGTTAAACTCTTCCTTTTGTTCAGCAAATCAAAGCATTTGGTAATTTTTACCTTACACTACCCAGCTGTAACTGTTTTAGTTCAATTAAATTAATTTCTTTTCTACTCCAAACAGAGCAACATTTTTTTCCCTTGGGCATATTGGGCATGTACACACATTGTGATAGTTGGCCTCTGACCTAGTCTAAAATCCCGAGGGGAAGGCAGACTTTTTCTCTATCAATAACCCAAGGCTGAGCCTGTAAGGAAGAGGTCAGACACACCTCCACTTTCCAGCCTTTTTTTTTTTTCTTAAACCAATTCTAATGGTTAAAAATCATCTCTCCCACAGCACTCTACTTCTTTTCTGGGTTCTATAATTTGCCGCACAGATCAAAATCAGTTTCAGAGTTTATTAGGGAAGCAGCAGATCATAATTGAGGCTCAGGAACAATCAGGATACAGTTCTTCAACCACGGCAGCCTTTTCTGAACCGTGCCCACAGGCAAACTCTATCTGTCCCTGCACCTTCAGCGTGGCCTCTTCTCTGCTCAGGTAAGTGTAACAAAGTTCTTTTAACTCTACCAGTCCTTACTGAGACATCCCAGTCCACCAGTCCACCTCAGCCTGAAGGCATACAGCACTAGTTCAGTGGGTTGGCAAATCTAACTCCTCCATGTGCCCAGAGGCACGCCATGCTTACCTCAGCAAGACACTTACCTGAAGGAGCACACCATTCTCTCTCCAAGGGCTGGGAAGATGGCGGTACTATCTCCTGCTTTATTTATCTTCTTGCGATCTCCCACTGTCTCTGGTATTACAGCTCTCTCTCTATTGGGTTCTAGGAGCAGGGATCCCAGAGCCAAAGGATAGTCTCTACTCCCATCTCCTCTTCTGGTTGAGTTTGAGAGTCCCCTTTCCAAGCTGGGATGGCTTATTGGAAGGCCAGGGGGGAGCAAAACTGACTATACCCTCAGGTTCTGTACACATTATGTGCATGTTCCTGGCCCCCAAAAGGTGTCATGCACCTTATTTATGGTATAAAGAAGCTATTCAATTCCCCTGCGGGGCCACAGGCACGTCATTTGTATTGTCCCTTGGGTCCTTTTGTGGGAGCTACAAAGACTATGGCTAGAAGGGCCATAGGAAGAAATGCCCTGCACCGCATGGCATCAGAAGCAACACTTTGAAGGTGCATTTCCTTCAATGACTCCTGAGGCTCCATCCTTAATTTAGGAGCAGGTACCAATCGAGCCACGTGGGCTTCCTGTCTCCACGAACTCGAGTTCTCAAGGAAGTAACCTCTTGAATCTAAGCTCCACTCCTTGGCATCTGTGGCTCTTTAAATGTTCTTGAAGGGTTAGTTTTCGCTCTGGCAAGTAAGTTTAGAATCTGTTTCGTGTGGGGAATGGAAAATGCCAGTTCCTAAGTAAAATCCTAACCTCCCTCCAGGACTCCACCCTGCTTTATGAACCGACAGTCCTTTCACACGCTTGTTTTTGTCTGGCTGTCATGGTCTTCCTAAAGAGAGGTTGGAAATTTTATTTTCAACAGCTGCATAAAAGAAAACCCTCCTTTGGATTCACGCTCCTTGTTCAGGTTTAACTTGCTACCACAAGCGCTACTTAGACACAAGCTTTTTGAAGATGAGTGAAGCTTTAGCGTGACAAGTTGAAGAAAATAATTCTCATTGACCCAAAAAGGGAAAAGAAAAACAGTTCAAATCCTTGCAAGACAAAGGCAATTACTCCATAGGTGACTAATCCTCTCTGGTGGGGGGTTTATCAAAACAGTGGTGATGGGGGTGGGGGTGGGGTGGCGAGATGCATTGCCAAAACTAAGCTATCCATGCATATAGTCAAACCCTCAATAAAGAGTTAATCCAGGTAAATGAGTGATGGGGACACAAAAAAATATGGCTATTCTCAGAAAATATATTCCAAGAATGGTCCAGAAACAACCTGACTCAAATCGCATGCACAAACTGCCTGCAGGAAATGCATGTTTTAAAATAGATGAGCTGTTATGAAGAATGAGCAGACTGTGCAATAACTGTGGGCTTTGGGTTATTTACCGTATATACTTGAGTATGAGCCAACCTGAATATCAGCTGAGGTGCCTAATTTTACCACAAATAC